CCAAGGCGGGGGCTGACAAGTTGTCCCTGCACTGCCTCATCTGCAGCCACACTTCCCACCATCTTTCCCTCCCCCCTCGCCTCAGCATTCCCTCTCTAGCTGAAGCAATGTCAGGCCTGGCTCTCTTGCGATGCGATGTAAGCAGCGAAAGATGCTTCGCTGTCTGACGAAGTGGGGGAAGGAAGAATTCTGCTTAATCTACATTCTGGTTAAAGGAGAAGGATCACATTTATCACACTTGGGTGGCTGACCTTCAAATACAGTAATTCACGTGCTAGAACGTACGTGAGACTGAAGTTGTACTGAATTTTAACGAGACTTTGATGACTCACAAGGTACTGTAGGAATGCTGCAATCCTTATGAGTCATTATGAACATCAGTAATCGCTGAATTGTAGGTTTTGGAAAGGCCACAGATGGGTGGATCGAGTTTGCTTCCTTGCACGGGCCAAGAAAATCTCTGAATACACCTGGGAAACTGAAGTTGTACTGAATTTTAACGAGACTTTGATGACTCACAAGGTACTGTAGGAATGCTGCGATCCTTATGAGTCATTATGAACATCAGTAATTGCTGAATTGTAGGTTTTGGAAAGGCCACGGATGGGTGGATCGAGTTTGCTTCCTTGCACGGGCCAAGAAAATCTCTGAATACACCTGGGAAAGTGCTAAAGATCCCCAGCTGGCTTCTCGGTGTTCAGTCCCCTAAAATTTCACCCATTCAACAAATATTCAAGTTCTTACTATGTGGCAGGCAGAATTTCTAAATTTGGGCTTCTGGCACTCAGTATATCGAATATCATCCTCCTCCTTGAGTACCTTATCAGATAGAATAGGTTCCATGCCTTCTTGTCTCTTTTGGGTAAAGGTTTGTTTTTATGTTTTTCCCAATTGATGATCCATTTGAACAAATGGAGTAGAAGTTTCACCAGGTCTTTCTCTTGACTCATCTGGTGTGTTGGGTAACGACGCATAATCACAGTGTGACTCGTGGTTAGGTTTCTAAATTATTTTCAGCATACTGGCAATCTTTCTCATTACAAAAGAGAACTGTACTCAACTCATCTCGATGCCAAGCTGAGATGGACTAAAACACACAGAGATGTGTTCCACCTCCTTCCTTCTATGGTAAAACTCACCCATTTCTTGGGCTGAGGTGGGTGGGTAATATCTCCACTGACGGACATTGATCCCTAACTTTATTAAGATTTAATTAATTTGAAGACCCAGTGAAGAGAAATGGAATTCTGCAGACCAGAAATCCGTCCCGCTCTGCTGATGACAAGCCATCCTTTGTGTTTGCTATACTTCTTTCCACTTTTCCAATAGTTTAAAGTGGATGTTAGTCTTTGCCCATAGTAATGTAAGGAGAAATCTGATGACTGGAAGAAAGGCTTTATATAAGATAAGCCATTGAAATATGCCTTGGAGCTAAGTGCTTCCTTTTCTGAAAAGAGGTGCATTATTTAAAAAATAACCAAGCACTTTGACATTAAGATGTTTTTCCTTGGAATCCTTCAAATTTTCTTGATGTGCTCATCTCAACAGATATTTTTAAAAAACCAACCATCTGTCACATCAGGTTAAAATGTTTTTAATTAATGATATTTAGCACTATCCACCGAGGCAACTGGATTAACACTTTTGCACGACAGGTGAGCATTAACATTCTTTCAGATCATCTGGAATGAAATGTCACTTTCCTCTATCCTGAGACTCTCCCTGTGTGAAAGAACAAACAGGACTGTAAAAGCCCAAAGTTTCTCTCTCAGCTGCTGCAGGCTTCATACTCGGTAGGTCATCACACATATTTACTTGCATTATGGAAGGCAGAGACTGTCTGTGACATCATTTATGAGTCTGTCTGGGTTTTGTTTCTTCCATTTCGTAGAATATATAATCTCAAGGTTCTCAAAAATCATTTAATCCAAGATCTTTCCCTAGGCAAAAATTACAGAGATTGTTTGCTCTGTGAGTCTCCAAAAGGCTATAATAATACCTAAAGGCAAGGGAAGAGGCAAAAGACATCTTTGAAAATTGCATTTGAAGAATGGAGAGTGGAAATGGAATTAGATACTCCAAGTATTAAGAAATGCAACTGACTGAGTTCAGAGGTTAATTCATTTAAATCTTAACTCTTCACTCAGATTATTCAAAATAGCATCTGTTTCAAGCTAGATTTGTTGCCAAGCTAACCTTTTTTAAAGTACAGTAAGATATGCTTGTTGTAAACGTTTGAAACAGTGCAGAAAGAAATCAGAACCACCCACACCATCAGTTCCCATCCCGGGTTCCCCAAACCCATTCCTCATAGGTAACCACTTAAAAATTTCCTGGGTATCGACATGTTCAGGGCATAAACCAGCATATAGTTTCTTAAACACACCCCCACCACACACACACACGGAATCAGAAGATACTTTGTCCTATAACCTGACAACACATATAGCTGATTTATAGCGAATAAGCTACAAAGTGAGGTGGCTTTTCTGCAGGGTGCCAACGTGCAACCTTCACGGGTCAGTAAAGAGAACATCAGCAGCTCCATTTCTTCTTATACGACATCATGAGGGTGGGTGTAGAGGGTGCCAGGGCTTTTATGCCCCAGTCTCCTTCTGAGCAACAGAAAACCATCATGGCTTCCCCTCTGATCATTTAACACAGCTTTACAGAACAGACAACTACATGCCAGGGACCGAGCTAGGATCCGGGATTCTGAGCTCAGGCGGAGAGAGGCCTGGCTCTGCCCTCATGGAGCTTTGCAGTCTGCTCTCCTTACAAACTGCTGTTCCCCCAGAGAGTCTGCTCGGAAACTTGTTTATACCAAGCTTTACTGAGTACCTGTCAAGAATCTGGCACTACTGTATTATAGACACCATAAATAAGATAAAGTTCCAAACTTAAGGAACTTAGTCTAACGGAGAAATGGATTATGATGTCACCAGGAGGACGTATGAAATACACAGGCTGGAATTCTGGAGACAAGAATAGGGGTTGCGTCCCTTAGCTTGGGGAGGGGGGAGGGGGGTCGGGAAGCTTTCCTGACGGCCCTGGGCAGAACCGGGGTGGGGTTATTCCAGAAGGGACAATATGAAGACTCCTCCCTTCAGGGACACAGCAGCAGTTCAGGGCTTCTGGGGCATTTGAGGCAGGATCAGAACGTGGAAAGCTTTGCCCGCCTCTAAGGAGTTTGGATCTACCCTTGGTAATGGGGACACACTGACTCAGGCAGCAGGATTGAGGCAGGGACACAGGAGGCCAGGAAACCAATGCAGCAGACTCCATTGCAGATGAGTCTAGAGGAGAAATGACGACAGCCTAAACCAGGCCCGGGGTAGAAAAGACAGACTTATGGGCTATTTAGTGGGTAAAACCACCAGGGCTTAAGAACCAAGTGAACGTGAAGTCTGAGAAAAATGGAGGTTTTATGGTCTGAATGTCGCCCTCCAAATTCCTGTTGAAATCTAACCCCCAATGTGATGGTATCTGAGTGGGGCCTTTGGGAGGTGATCAGGTCCTGAGGTTGGGGTCCTCATGAATGGGATTGGGCCCTTATGAGAGGCCAGGGAGCTGGCTTGCTATCTCCCTGCCATGTGAGGACACAAGAGAGAAGTCCGCAACCCAGAAGAGGCCCTCACCAGCACACCACCATGCTGGCGCCTTCACCTCGGACTTCCAGCTTCCAAAACTGTAAGAAACAAATGTCTGTTGTTTATAAGCTACCCAGTGGATGGTATTTTGTTATAGCAGCTGTGCTGGCTAAGACACAAGGAGGCAGGGACAACTCCCAGGTTTACTGTGGTTTTGATTGGCAGGCTAAGTCCAGCCTTTCTGGAAGTTATAAAATAAAAAATTAAAAAAAAAAATTTTGCCCTACGTGCAACTCTTTGCCCTCAGCATAAAAGCCTTTTTCCATCTTCAAATAAATTTACTGTGGTTTTGATTGGCAGGCTAAGTCCAGCCTTTCTGGAAGTTATAAAATAAAAAATTTAAAAAAAAAATTTTGCCCTACGTGCAACTCTTTGCCCTCAGCATAAAAGCCTTTTTCCATCTTCAAATAAACTCTCAATTCCACGTTCTCCTTCAATCTTCAACTTACCAACAAATCTTCCTCAGCTCCCATTCAGTCTCCAGCCCACTGCAGTCCGCCAAGTCTGCTGAGGTCCCCACAAGCTGCTCCTGCCAGGCTCCCCGGGAGAGGGGCCTCCTGCAGCACGGGTCCTGCTGACGGCTGGGCGCTCTGGTGAGGTGCTCTCCCCTGGGCTTCCTGTAACCCATGGCTGCTCCTCCCCGCTCCCTCCGCCCGTCATTAAATTCCACCTCGGATCCTCTTGCCTTCCTGTGCCCCACGAGCAATCCTGCCAGCGCCTATGCCTGACCTCCTTCTCCATGCTGACATTGCCCAATCCTAACTCCAGACATTGTCCCTACATGCCAAAGTCAAGTACCCAACTGCCCGTGTTCAGTCCAGTCACATCAGATCTTTCCAAAACTCACCTCTCCTGCCCTTCTCTGGTGTCTGTCTTCGCAAATGGTGCCTCCACGAACTCTTTCACCGATGCCCGACATCTGGGAGCTCCTGCTCCTGCTCATCACTCTGGCTAGAATGCTCTTCCTTTCTTTAAAAAATGTCTTTGACATATACAACACTGTATGCAAAATCACCATACCAGATTTGAAGTTATCACTCCACTTTGTCTTTATTATTTTTTATATTTAGCACATGCATCAAGTAACAAATTCAGTACATACAAAACCCTACACGTTATATATCAGTTATAGAGCATAATACAGAACGAACACCCACAGCCCTACTGCCTGCACATGGGACCACTCCTCTTTACCTGCCTCCACCTGTGTTCCTCTCTAGCCCCTCCATCCCCCCTCCATGGGTAATCACTACACTAAATTTTGGTTTAGCATTCTGTGAGTTTTTCTTTCTTTTATAACAGTTTTGTCGGACCACTCCTCTTTACCTGCCTCCACCTGTGTTCCTCTCTAGCCCCTCCATCCCCCCTCCACGGGTAATCACTACACTAAATTTTGGTTTAGCATTCTGTGAGTTTTTCTTTCTTTTATAACAGTTTTGTCACATATGTACACCTACACAATATATTCTTTGGTTGTGCTTGTTTTTGAGCTCAATCAAAATAGCATCATACATCTGGGGGCTCCTGGAACCTGTTTTTCTTCCTTAATATTTTCCGAGATTCTTCTCAGTGTGAGGTAGAGCCGTAGTTCATTCCTTTCCGCTACAGAACAATATCCCTTAGGGTGAAGATAACCTAATTTATTTACCCATTCTCCTGCAGACAGACAGAGATTTCGCTTTTTTCAGTTATTAACTATCAAGAATATGTTCCTATGGACATTTCTGCACACACCTCCAGTGGCCACATGCACGAGTTTGCCGGACATCCACCTGGGAGCTGGCAGCTAGATCACAAAGTCTGCGCGTGTTCAAGTTTGTGACGTGTGATTGTTTTCTAAAGCACCGGTGTCTGTTTACACACCATGACAATGTATGCGATTCCACACATCCTCTTTAACACCTGGTACCGTCAGACCCAACTTCTTCAAGTGTTCGGCGTAGAATGGAATCTCACTGTGCTCTTAACTCATATTCCTCGCATCACTGGTGCTGCGGATCATCCTTCTACTTGGGTACAGCCCCATGTATTTCCTCTTCTGTGAAATGCCTTCTCTCTCAAGTGTATTAGTGTACTGAGTTTTTTTAAAGTAGAAATTCTCTACAGATTCTTGTCAGTTATCTACTGTATGTCTTCTCAAGAGTGGCCGGTCTTTTCACTTACATTGTTCATCTGCTTAACATAAGCCCTTAGTTTTAACAGAGTTGATTTAATCTCTTTTCTTTTATGATTATTGCTTTGTGTCTCCCGTCCTTCCTGCCCTGAGGTTTTTCATGTAATTATTTAAAACTTTTGCTTTTTGTATCGAAGCCCTTAACATATGGAATTGACTGCTGGGTAAGGTGTGAGGCAGAAATCAAATTTTTTTCCCGTATGGATAACCACTGTCCTAGCACTGTTTACAGAGTGGTCCTTACTGTCCCCACTGATCTGCCCTGCCATGCTGTCATCACTCAAAGGTCCACACAGGCCTGGGTTAGTTTCCAGGCTCCTTGATTTGTTCCACTTCTGCACCAGGTATGGCACTATCTCTGCAATAAAACTTGGTACCTTGTAAGTCCCTCAACCTCTTCTTCATATTTAGCAGCATTTGGCCATTCTCAGTCCTCTGCTATTGCAAAGAAATTTAAATATCTGCTGGTTATGTTCAACAAAATCTCTGTAGGAAATGTCATTGAACCTACAGATCCATCGGGGGAGATCTGATGCCTCCACAACCTCTAATATTCCTACTCACAAAAAAAGACAGTGCTTCGTCTGCTCATGTCTTGCTTCCTGGTCTCTGCCTTACAAGCTCCAAACCAGCCCTCAACCACTGCCTTCTCTGAACATTTCCACCACCACCCACTAAAGTAGGATATGTGCATCTTTTATGTGCACATTTTTGAGATAACTGCAAAAGTCCAAGCAGAGGAGGATATGGGGTGAGTTTGAGGTGTGCTGCTGGAGTGCGGGCACCATTCTTCATTACTGAATACATAAGGAATTTGAGAAGAATGAATTGACACCGGCTCGGGACACACTGGCTTGGGACGTCTGCACATCCTGCTGGAGGAGCTGCAGGATGCAGGCTGTGTGCTCCAGGAGGGAGGAGTGTGGATGGAGCTGCCTAGATAAGGTTGCCCAAGGGACCACACAGACTAAGAAGGTAACTAATGATGGACCCGTGGGTGCACGGGGATTTAAGTGCACAGAGGAGAAAAAACTATGAAAATGGCTGAGAAATGATCAGAAATGTAGAAGGTTAACCTACAGAATGATGTCAAAGGGGAACCAGGGAAAGGAGATGATGAAACAGTGCTGGGAAGCTTAAGTAAATTCACCTACTCACGTAGCAATTAGGTGGCAGGGCTGAAATTTGAATCCGAGTATGTCTGACTTCAAAGCCCATGCTCTTAACCATTGCCCCTGAAATAACGGAGAACAAGTTAATGTGCTGTTCCTAAACTGCATGAGTGTGGAGTTGGGCTAGCATAGAAAAGGAAGACTGAGTGGCAGCATGCTGTCCACCCATCCAGTGCTGCACAGGACACTGCAGCTCAGTTGACAACCTGCTCAATTCTGCAAACAACTAAAAGATGTTAACCACCCTTCACGGCCATCCTCTCTCCCCATCTCCTTCTCTTTTTCCCTTCGGGCTAGGGACTACGAAATTACAGGACAAAGAGGTCGGGAGAGCATGACAACACTTGGCCACACCAGGGCAACTGCTCGAGCACTTCTGATGCCTTTTGCCAAAGGGAGCTCTGCAGCCCTTTATTCAGCCTTTAGAAAATGAGGTCGGCCAAGGAGAGAGCAGAGTTATACTTTCTTCCCTGTTTGAGTCCACTGTTGTAACCATTTAGATTAAAATACTGCATTTCTCACAGTGTCTTTTGCCACAGGGTCACATTTCTCTACACCTTTCTCTATTCGACTGAGTTTCAGGCTTTTTTTTGAAGAGGAAAAACAAAACAAAACAGAGGTGTAAGTGGCCTCCTAGATCCAAGTTAAAGATGGAAAAAAGCAAGCAGACTTGCTTTGAAATGCAAAAGACCTCTACATGCAGCCTGTCCCAGCTCCTGAGGGGCCAGGGACACCACTGGAGCTCCGCTCGCCGCTCTTGGTTCGATGTTGCTTGTTTTCCAGGTACGGAGGAAAACCCTGCTCCTTCACAGGGATCCACCAAATTGTCTTGGAAAACCAGAAGCAGTACACACAAGCTTTTGCTGTTTTCATTTCTAAGGCACTTTGGACTATATTTCCTTAAGGATCATGAAGTATAGAAAAGGTCAAAAAAATAAATATAAGTTAGTCTGTATCATATCCCAAGATGGGTCCAAGCCATTTCTCAACCTCGGCCACAGACATGTTCTTCCTAAAAGCATAATCCTCAACCTGCAAAAGATGAGAAGCATCTTATTAAGCCAAAGTGAGAAGACTTTTTGATCTGAAGTTTCCATAGGATTTGCCAAGAAACATTAGGTACCTTCCATTCCTTGTCTTGATGGCAATATAATGAGTTAAATGGGGATAAATGTTTATCTGTTTACCAAGTTGCCTTTTTCTCTGGGCAGAAAAACACCATGTGGTAAATATCTGATGCTTAGAATCCGGCTGTGTGGGGGTGGAGGTGGGGATGGGTATGGGAGGGGCTGGGATGGGGTAGTGGGTTGAAATCAAATTAAGACATTAACTGGGATAAATTTTTATCCTTTCCCCCATTTTTTATTCTCATTCACATTTAAAATAAAATAGGTTCTAGAGTTCCATTTAAAACAAGACAGGCATGAAGGAAGCCACATACAATGAAACAGCTGACTTACCTGATCCTTGGAAATTTTCCCCACAGCAAAATATCTGGACTTCAGGTTGGAGAAGTAGAGTCCCGACACCGCTGAAGCAGGTGCCATTGCTAATGATTCCGTTAAGCTAATGCCTAGAGAGAGCAACATGGCAGAATCAACGCGCAGACAAAACATAACAGAGACTCAGGACTACAGAAGAGCATATGAAAGCAGAGAAGAGTGCTGGAGCAAGGGCGGGGAGCTCCACAGGCTGGCACTCAGAGACCACTGACAAGCAGTGGGACGAGAGTGGGAGGTGGACGATGTTATGATGGGCCACAGGTCATCGCCAGAGGATGGATGACAGATGCTGCCCCACCTTTAATAGGACACTGGGGCAGGAGAGGCACAGGGTGGTGTGAGTAAGCTAAATCCCACCTGTCGCAGGTCAGGAGGAAATAATTTCAACTGACAAATCAGAAAATAGTGATTTAGGAACATTACTCAATAACGGAAAGTACCAGATTAAGTAGCTAAAAGTGAGAAAGGATGGGATAAGGGATGAGTTCATCAGAAGCCCTTCCCACTTTTTCTATTTTTCCCTGTGCACGCCATTGCGTTGGTAAGAGTGCATCTATTAAATAAGGAGCCCCTGCCTCCTGGCACGCACCTGTGGCCTGCTCGATGTCAGCCAGCCTCCACATGGTGAGCTTCTCGGTGTGGTCGGGCTGGCTGGGGTAGCCGGGAGCCGGGCGGATGCCCTTATAGCGAAGCCTGCGCAGGTCTGCCACGTCCAGCTGCTCGCCGCCGCAGTACGCCCAAAGCTCTTTGCGAACCCGTTCGTGGAGCTCCTCTGCAAAGGCCTGGGGACCCAGAACAGCAGCATGCTGAGGCGGAGGAGGGAGCTCACGGGGCCAGTGTGGATTCCACCACACATCACAGCAGTACAGGGCAGCCTCCCTCCCCAGAACCACAGCCAGAATGAATGTGGCAAGAGGGAACAGTCTGGATTCTCGATTCGTTTGTACTTTCATTAGCTACTCGGCCGCTATATTCTGGCCTCAACCTGGGCTCTGAATTAGCATTTTTGACAAACTGTGGATTTCCAGGCCTTTTAACTTAAACCCTTCCCTGAAGTCAGCCCACAGCTACCCTGGCCAGAAAGAGCTGCTGGGACCCTGAGCTGCTGGTTCCTCCACTGCTAACTGCAGGGAGAGGCGAGGACCCCCCAGCCCCAGCCTACCCCACCGCAAGCACAGGAAAATGAAGAGTCTACAGAAGAGGGCAACATTAGAACGATAAGAGCTGCTGGGACCCTGAGCTGCTGGTTCCTCCACTGCTAACTGCAGGGAGAGGCGAGGATCCCCCAGCCCCAGCCTACCCCACCGCAAGCACAGGAAAATGAAGAGTCTACAGAAGAGGGCAACATTAGAACGATGGGCTCTGAAACAGAAATCTGTTTTTAATTTTTCAGGTCCTCAGGAAAATGTCACATTGTAACAAGAAAAGTTAGACATCAGCCATCAGGCAAAGCAGTCAAAATTCTAAGGGCAATAGCCAACTATGGCATCACTGAAGGTTTTTCTTTGCCCAAAAGACAATGTATGAGAGCAACCTGGGGACAGGTGATTTAAAAATGTGTGCAATGTTAAAGCCACCCAACTCAAAGGAAAAATAAGACACTGGTTCTAGTGGCTGACCAGCTTTCCAGCACGCACCACAGGACTTGTCACCTGGACTCTGTCCCCAACCCCATCAGTGCGCTGCCACCACCTCACCTCCGCCAGCCGGTCCCCCAGCGCCTTGACCATGATGCTGTTGTAGTCATCACCGCTGTCCTCATAGGCCCTGCTCAACTCTTCCACCCCAAAGCAGGCAACAGCAAACAGGCCCAGGTAGTCGCGGACACCAGAATGCACAGGGGCGACGAAGTCCGCGAGGCAGTAGTGCGGGTCTGTGCTGGCGGAGTCCTTCTCGGCCTACAGCACAGAGTGGAAAGCAAGCTGATGTCTCCCCGTGAGTGTGACTCAAGGGTCTGCCTGTTGTGTTCCCTGTCACATCCCAGCACTTAGAACAGTGCCTGACACACAGTGAGTACTCAATAAATATTTGTTAAATAAGCAAACGAAATGAGATTTTAAAACATACATGACATCACACATAGTTGAGAAACCAGTCAACTCACTCATGCACACACTGACCACACATTTACTGGTTGCCCACAGGCTCTGTGCTAGGAACTGGAAGCTTAAGCAGTCACACAGAAAAAAACGTTTCTGCCCAAAAGTGCTTTCAGTTTGGATCAACATTAAGTCCGAGTGCTATGTCTGAAAGGTCCACTACACGTATAGGCCCCCACTTTGCATCGATGGAAAAATGCTGGGGTCAATAGCACACGGGCTGTGCTGCTTGCCCGGGGCGGTGGACAAGAGACAGCTAAGGACGCCCCAGGGCCGGCCCAAAACCAAAGCAAGAATCCAGCAGGATCTGCTTCTGGATTCTCTCCACACAAGCCCAGGTACCCCTGTCCTTGCCCACTTTTCCCTCTCAGCTGATGACCGACTCCCTGCTACTAAGCTACAAATAAGGTCTTACACATATTACACAATCAATAAGTGTTTACTGAGAAGGTAAACGGCTTCTAACTAATATTTGTTGAGTGCTTACTCTATGCCTGTTCTTGGTGCTTTACATGAACTACTAATTTAACCCTCTCAAAAACCTTGTGAACTGAGTGATACCATCTGCTCCATTTTACAGACAAGAAATAAGAGGCACAGAGAGCTTGATCCCCTAGCTCAAGGTCAGACAGTTTTAGGACCAGGGGCTGACACCACAGCCAATTCTCTCAAATACACAGCACTGCTTAGGACTGATTAATTAATCAATAAAAGTGGCTAACCGAGAAGCTTCAGAGCTACTTTCCAGCCATGGAAGTAAATACAGCCTCATTGACACTGGGCAGAAAACCAGTAGGTGGTTGCAGGTGAGGAGGTGTTTGATAACGGCACACAGAAATGTCACAGAGCTCAGGGACAGCCGTGCACGGAGGAGCAGCGTTCCACTCGCGCTCTGTCCAGCTACTCTTCTTTGCTAGCAAAAGCCAGAGTTGGGTACAAAGCCTCCCTGCACCACAGCAGAGATGGGTCACAGAGCCCCTTGGTGAGCCACCGTCACTGTGAGCTACCGGCGGCAGTGGCAGCGGCCCTGCCCTGACACCCACATCGGCCCTGCTCTTCATTACCCCCACAAGTGCCTTGGGCTCAGGCCTGTGAATGGTCATTCAGGATGAGGTGGAACTGACTCTATCGTTCACATGAAGCTCAGCCTCAAGTCCAAAGGAAAAGCAGCGTGCTCACCGCCAACGCCTTCCATACCTGCTGCCTCAGCCCATGAAAGGTGGCTATGGGCTCTGCCGCCTGCGCCACGGCACCCTCTGCGTACAGGTGGATGTCGTCCTGGACGCTCTGCGCTGGCCAGAATCCCACCACGCCCCTGGCCTGGAGTTTCTTTTGACTAATCAATGTGTTCAGCATATTTTGGGCATCATCATAGACCTTCTTGGCCTCTTCACCTATTAGAAAAATATAATAATCCACTTTCAGATGCCAATAGTGACCAGCAATGAAAGCTTCTTTATATAACCACTACCCGCCTCAGTCACCGTCCCCCTCACTGTCCTCCTCCAGTCTTTCCCAGTGTTCGCTGTCAGCACAGCTTCAGGTAGCAGCAGGGCTGAGTGCTCCTGCTAAGTGCAGCTCTCGCAGTCTGCTTCCCTCCGCTCAAGCCACTTGCACTTTTCCGCTTAATGCAAGGTGACCAGCCACAGCTGTGGCTCCCCAAGCAGGCCGTGGGGCAGGGGCGAAGCAAAGCAGCCCGCCTCCTCGCTCACTGACGTCCTCGTGCAAATACGACACCACTGAAGTCATAGTGACCTCTGGGGACGGGACAGGGTGACTGAAGTGTGGCCCCTCATCCTCTTAAGTGGCTTCAGCACTGCACCTGGACGGCCTCATCACCTGCACAGGAGCCTGCCCAGGGCCCTCAATTGCTCGTCTACGACAACTTGGGGCAGCAGTGAGAAGCCCCTGCCCACTGCTGCACTCCTGGCTACCCGAGAGCTGCCGAGTCTCAGCATCCCAACACGCACCCCATACTTTTACCAGTCCACCCTCCACCCTGCTCCGATCTGGCCATTATCTGACCCTCTGAATGGCTTCGCACTTTGGTCCCATGACTCTGGGAGCAGGTTTTGGGGTGAGACTAGAAGTGAGAAGTAGGGGTACAATTTACCAAATCCCCCACATCCCTAGTTTATCGTCCCAACCCCTGTCCCCTCCCCGCCCCAGTGCAGGCACAATGGACTCTTTCTGGTTCCCCAAATAGGTGCACGTGTCTGCGCCTTTTCACACCCCTCTCCTCTGTCTAGAATGTGCTTCCCTTCAACACTACCTCACGTCCCCAGTCCCAGCCGCAGCAACTCCTGCTTAGTTTTCAAAAAGCAATTTGAACACCACCTCGTCCAGGAGCCCTACGCTGACCTCCCAGTCTCAGCCCTGTCTCCTCTTCTTTGTGCACAGGAGCCTGGGCTGGGCCGCAGCAGGAGCCTGGCATGTACTCTCTGCTGTCAGCTGTGCCAACTAGTCAGGTACTAGGTGGCAGGGAGTCTATTGTCTTCTTTTGTTTATCCCTAGAGCCCAGGACAGAGCCCAGCATGTAACTGATGTCAATAAACATTTATTAAAAGAACAGATCAATGAAATGCCAATTTCATTGGACAGAGTAAGGTCCAACCTAGCCGTTTAAAAACTGTTAAAACATTGAGCAGGTAAACACCACGAAAGTAGGTATGGTCTGCATAAGCCAAACCCATGGCTCACCCCCATCCCCGCCATCGGAGCCACAACCCTGCACCTTCACCACCAGAGGCAGGAAGGATGTACTTATTGAACTAACCTACTGTTTTGTCGTTAAATATCTTGGGAAAACCTCGATTCGGGTACTTGCCGCGGAGCTGCCAGACATCAAAGAAAGGCTTCCAGTCAATGTAGCCCACCAGCTTCTGCAGGTCATAGTCTTCAAAGACCCGGGTCCCAATAAACATGGGCTTCACTACAGGAAAGGACAGATGTCGGTGCTGATGCAGGAGCCAGGCTCAAGGCCCCTCATACTGGCACCATCTGACAGCCCCCTCCTGGCTCCTGACTGCGCAGCTGACTCCCATGCTCTGCCTCTCGCCTGCCAACGTGGGAGTGTTTTACAAAGAGGAGTAATTCTGAACCAAATTCTAAATAAAATTATTCTTCCCATGAAGGTGACTGACTACAGCACCCATGGAAACTCTTCCCTCAACCCCTCCATCCCCACCCCCCACCCAAGGAAAAAAAAAAAGAGACTTGGGTTAACCTTCATTCATGCAGATGAAGATAGCACTAAAATAAGACCACTGCAGAAAGACGTACTTATATAAAGCTTAAAAACATGAAATGGCAATCGATATTGCCTATTGATTCATGTACATATAGTCCAAGTATAAAGAAATGCAAATTCAGTTTTGTGGAAATTTCTGCAGGGGAGAAAGGGGCCCACAGGGACAGGGACTTCCCCTGCATATGTATTGTTTTGTTGGGTTTATTTTCAACAGGCGGTAGGCTATTTCCTAAGCTGGCTAGCAGGTATACACAGATGTTTAATATATTGTTCTCTATACCTCCTCGTGAGTCTAAAACATATCACGGTTTAAAAGACGGTGTGAAGACTTCAGAGACAGGGGGAGTGCTGGGCCTCCTGGGACACCGAGCGCAGCAATACCGCCCCCTGGGGGCCAGGCCAGAGTGTGAGGTGCCCGTCCTGCTGCCGGCTCCAGACCCGCCAGTCTCTGCGTGCACTGATCTTGGGATCAGAGGACTTGCAATTCTACCAGTTCAGGAGCTCTGAGAACACAGAAGTCTTGAGAGTATTTGTGTCTCACATGATGGTGAATGTGAGAGACAAGGGCACAAGAAAAGAAAGTGTGAGCAGTTTCTTCATCCTGCTGGAAATCTCTACCTTTTCATGTTCGTTCACAGCAGCTCTTTCCCATTTGTTCCTTGTCATGTTTGTGTTCCACAGGACAAACCCTGCTTTGCAAATATGCTATTTTGTTGATTTGTTTGCTAACAAAGTCTGTATAGTCCTCTTAGTAGAGAAACTAAAAAGAAACTACAGACACGCTCTTGATTCAAGTGTGCTCTTGCCCTGTCAGGTGGGGAGAATGCACTGCTGCAGTCACTGAGGACCGCTGCTCCTGACCAAGCTTGCCCCCAGAGTTTAAGAGATGTTTGAGGTTTTACCACACAGAGCTTTGAGAGAAGATCCTCCCTTCTTTCTGTATCGACTTCCTGCAACTACCCTAAGACTGGCTGTCCTCAGAAATAGCTAACTGGGGAAGTAGGCCACTCAAGGTCGCTCAGCAAATAAAAACCAGGAGCCAAGAGGTACGAGGCCCCTGGCCGCCTGGCTCCTGATCTGGCATTCATTCCACCAAACCACACTGAACCCGGCAGGAATGAAATTAGAACCAAGCACACCTACATCTCCCATCTGACCCCCACACGTTGCCCAGCATGTACAGAACACAGAGGTCATGAGCAATGAAAGCTGCTTTGAGATATTGCTTTGGAAATATGGATGCAATTAACATAACCCCTGCTCACCCTGCCTCAGTTTTGCATTTGTGTCTCATGCCTCTCTGGGCCTGTCAAAACATCTTACACATTCTATTTCCTTGTGAACACCTACATGAGGCAACAAAGGTGGCTAGAAATAAACAAAAGAAAGAAACCAAAAGAAATAAAGAGAGGGAAGCATCCAGAGAGGATGAGAGAGAGAACAAGAGACGGGCTATACAGCTCTGCTTCTGTGTTTTAAAGATCTGTCACATGCGAAGGCATTTTCCACTTCAGACATTCCCCATCTGCCCATGGGCCTGCCTGAGACCCAGGCCACATTGGTGACAGTGCCACCCAGGAGGGTGTCCTCAGAACTTACTTCAAGCCAAGGGAGCCCTGTTCAAGCACAGCATGGAGGAAAGAGTGTGGGTTTAGAAGACAGACCAGAGATGGAATCCTAGGAACCTTTTTTGTTATTACCCCAAACTCAGTTTCTCCAAATTAAAGTGCAGGTAATACCCATGTTTGTCACAGACTTGTCTGAAGGACTCAGCAAGCTGTTCTGGGCCTGTCTCAGAACAGCGTCTGGCACACAATGGGCTCTCCATAAATGGTACCTATTTACTCTCTTCTCAACCATAAGGGTCACTCATCGTCATGATTAGACACAATCGAGAGTTTCTAGCTGTGTTTGATTTTGTAGCCAAATAAATGCAAACATGTTCTCAGTACACGGTCGGTTATCGCACCCGTCTTTCGTCAACAGCCAGACAGACCTGGGGGAGGCTCAGACAGCCAATCAATATGGAAACCATTTTTTCTGGCTTGACTTAAGGGTAAGTATCTCCTCTCCTGTTAAAGAAACAAAGAAAAGTTATTTAGTCAGAGATTCCTAGCTTTTCTACTGCCACTATGAAAACATGGCCAAGAAAGCAAGTACCTGCTTTGCAAGAAAATAAATGCTTTTATTAATGAAAATTCTTATCCTAAGAAGCTCTTCCTTCTACCCAGCATGGCTTTGCATCCACATCAGCACTACTGTTAGGTGAATACAAGGCTGACTCTGCAGCCTGAACCCAGAGGTGAGGGAGAGGTCTCCCACCTGTACTCTTAGAACACCTGAGGCCAGGTGTTAGCTGGCCTGCCATCTCCACCTTGAGGACCAGAGATGGAACTAAAAAACTGTCAACTGTGGGCAAACCTAAGGAGAGAGAAAAAAGTCAACCACGATGTCTTGTGCCAGCCAGTACTTCAGAAACAAAATAGCATGTTTTCTTCATGCTGTTTATCTCATTTCACTTGCCAGGAAACTCCCCAAATGCCCCCCTCCGCCAAAAGCCCAGAAAGCAGATAACCAGGAAAAAGTATCCCAGTGACTTATAAAGAGTTGTTATGCCTATTCACGATGGATCACCTAAAGCTCGTCTAGAGGGACAGTTCCCCGAACATCGCTTCTGTAGTCAGTGCTGGGCACTCAGGGAGACAGGCCTAAAAGAGTTGTTATGCCTATTCACGATGGATCACCTAAAGCTCGTCTAGAGGGACAGTTCCCCAAACATCACTTCTGTAGTCAGTGCTGGGCACTCAGGGAGACAGGCCTAGAACTGTCCTGTCTCATGTCTCCATTTTCTCCCCTTGTTCCCTTAAGAGCAGGGATCTGTGGGAGTCTCTTCAGTGCAGTTTCAGCTCCTGATTCCCTGCTGGCTCTGAGCTCATGTTCTACTCATTCTCATAGCTCTGGTATCTAGCACAGCAGCTGACACCCACTGGGTACCCAATACATGTTTGGCTGAAAAATAATATTCATTTTAATATAACTAAAAAGTATTGGGAACTTAGACATTGAAAAACTCCAATTTCAACAAGAAAATAGGACTTTTCTAAAATGATCCTAAGTCTTTGCCTTCCTCAAAACAGTAAAAACATAAAAAGTTACATTAAAAACTGCAGGGTAATCTTACTGCCCCAAAACTTGTTTTTATCATTTACCTTGAGAGATTCATAATGGTCCTGTCTAATATCTTCATATTCTTCCATGATTTCCTCAAAATATTCGTCCTTTAGATTTTCATCTAACAGCTGAGAACACTGAAAATTCAAGATACAGTTTGGTAACCATAGAGAAGCAAAAGATAAAGCTGTGCAGTAATGGTCAGCTCTGGAGACACTGCCTTCAGGAAAGCCTTCCCTGATTCCTTTCCTCTCCCTTCACCCACATGCTCATTCCGGCCTGTGTGCAGCAGAGGCTTACCTCAGTGGGCTGGTAAGTTCAAAAGCTGTGCAGGTCAAAGAAAAGACTGGGAGATAAGCTCTAAGCCCTCAGGATATCCTGCCTGATAAGAATGTCACCGTCATCTCATTATATACCTGGAGCCTTGGGCCACCCAGATAGCATGTGCTAACAATCTGACGTTGGCTCCTGCTTTACTTGTCTGATTTTTGGAGGGGCTGAAGACTGAGCAACTAAGGCCAGACACATGGGTACTCAGGCCTATATGATGGACCCCCAATAAAAGCCCAGGACACTGAGGCTCAGGTGAGCTTCCCAGCTGGCAGTGTTCTGTAGGTGCTACTGCACTTCATTAGCGGAAGAATCAAGCACTATCCCTGTGCCTCCACAAGGAGACAACACCTAGAAGCTTGTGCTTGGTCTCTCCTGGATTCCACCCTATGTGCCTTTTGCCTTTGCTGATTTTAATGTGTCCTTTCACAGCAATACACTGTGATTGTGAGCAGAGCAGTGTTTCTGAGTTCTATGAGTCCTTCTAGTGAGTCAGTGTACCTGAGGGTGGTCTTGAGTACCTTGACACACTGGTTGAGGCGCCCAGCGTTCAGTGTTTCAAAGACACTGCTCATCTCTCTATCACTGGAGTTAACCACAGGCTTTTAGTATCTGTTTATGTATACACTTCCCTTACTAGAGGACAAACCCTCTGAATGCTGAGATCACACATTAACCATTTTGTGCCCCTGATGCCTAACTCAGGGCCTGGCATGAACAAGGTACATCTTCACTAAACATTTGCTGAAGGAATGAGGCTAATCTTCACAGTCAACCATGAGCTTCTGCTAAAATGTGAAGGAAACCAATAATCTGAGAAAATGTGATGCTACTCATTAAATTATAAAACTAGGATCAGCTAAATATTACTTGTGGCTATGATTATCAAGCTGATAGAAGAAGAGCTACCATCAAAGAAAGGAGAAATAGCTGCTACAGCATCAGTTCAAAACCACAGCACTGCCCCATCCCCACATTCTCCAGCAGGATTTTCTAACACACAGAAAGACAGGGACATCCAATATCTTCATCTTAAATTGAGGAAGTTAGACTGGATGGTGACTAAGGTGCCTACCAGCTTTCTAAGTATCTCTAATAACAATCCAATCACCTATGAGTTAGTACAAAACAAAATCTTTTTATTAAGGAATATAATCAGAAAAGGCCATTGTGGCAGGGCTAAAAGTAGGCTCCCAAATGGTGCTGGCATCACAGAGTACTTCCCAGGTTTACTTAAGCTAACCTCAGTGCAGTCCTCATTCGGGAAACCTATTAGAGCTAAATGAAAACAGGAAGGGAGTGCTTACTCCTGAACTCCCCACAGTGACTGTAACTAATGCTTTAAAACACTGCTGCATTCTGCTAGATGACACACTTTGAGAAAGTACAACCCCACATCCTTCACATCCAGAGAATTTACAAACCCTGACCCAGGTACTGCTGGGTGAACAGAACACACCCCCACAGGTTGCCAGCACTGTCCACACCCCCGTACAGCCCCCTGTTCCCAGAGCCAGAACAGGCCCTGTCCCACCCAGTCTGACTTGCTTGATGGAAAAGAGCTCACGGCCAATGGGCTAACCTATGTGATCAAAAAGACAAAATCTGTCATGGGTCTTCACACCAACCACTGAGAAATATCACTATTTTCCTTCATTTATTTATTTTTTTTATTTTTCATGGTAGTAGCCACACAATGAAAAAAAATAAATTGGAAAAGTATTTTATAATTTAAAAAGAATTAAATATCAACACCTTTTTTATCATAAAAGAAGAACAGAAAGAAAGCAAGGAAAATCCTCAAGTCTAAATCTGCAACCATTAAGTACTTGCTACATCTTTCTAGAACCTTTCAAATGCAGGAGACAGGTGCTAAAGCATGATCTTGTTTCATGTTCATTTCAGTTAGATCAAAAGACCCACAGCAAACAACCAGCATAAACAAATTATACCCACTGGCTCCTGAAAACTGTCACTACCAGTTAACCAAATTATTTATCATCTGACTTTCGTTTGTGTAATTTCAAAAAGTGGCAGTCCTTCGTAAATGAGAAGAGCACTGCCGGCTGCCTGGCTGCACCACACTGTACAGAGCACCAACCCCCACTCTCTGCCTGGCTGCCAGCTGGGTCCACACAGCTCTAACTCCTCCAGCAGTGACCTGTCCTCCAAAAACATGGCATCAAGGGGCTGATGCTTTCCCCCACCTGCAGAGGACACGTTAGCACTGTGCACTTAGGTAGGCTCAACACCTGGTCTCCAAACGGAAAACGTTCAGGGTCATTCTTCAGCATTTAAAAACAGCAACAAGCACTAAAAAGAGGTCCCACTGGCCATGCAGCCATGGACCTGACATAAGTTGCCATGAAGCGCTATCCAAAAATAAAATACAAAAATTGTTTTAAGCAACAAGCACTAAAAAGAGGTCCCACTGGCCATGCAGCCATGGACCTGACATAAGTTGCCACGAAGCGCTATCCAAAAATAAAATACAAAAATTGTTTTAAAATTGAGTTGCAGAAATATAGTTTATTTGCACATTAGTCTATCTCAATGGCAAACAAAAAACTGCAGTTTTATAATCCCAGCCTGATTTAATTTTATCCTTTTTAATAAAGGAGAATTGTTATATACTAATGGAAACAAGTTTAATTTAACATAAAGGCCACCTACATTCAAATCCTACACTTGCCACTTGATGGATGTGTACCCTCGGGAGAGTTACTGACCTCTTTATTCCTGTTTCCTGATCTCTAAAATGGGGATAATAAAAGTATCTACCTCATAAGGTTATTCTGAGCATTAAATAAAATAATCCATGTAAAACACTTAGCTCAGCACCTGGCACACCATAAATGTTCAATAATGTTAGCAATTACTGTATAACTCTCATGTAAATAAATTCACAGATCTGAAAGAATTCCTTTGGAAAATGACTCAGGAAATGTTGTTACCCTAGTCCAGGCTGCACAATGTCACTGGAGGTCTCCCAGATCACCAGGCCCCCTCAGTAACTTTCTTTGCCTACAAAATGTGAAGACTGGACTAGATCTGTAGTTTTCTTTTTCTTTTATAATTTAATTTTTAATTTTTTAATTGACAAATAATAATGGTATATACTTATGGGGTACAAAGTGATGTTTCAATACATGTATACATTGTGGAATGATCAGATCAGAGTAATCACATCTACCTCCTCAAATATTTACTATTTCTTTGTGGTGAGAACATTTACAGTCCTCTTTTTAACTATTTTGAGATACACGGTATTCCCTACAGTCACCCCGCCGTGCAACAGCACACCAGAGCTCGCTGCTGCTGTACAGCTGTAACTCTGCACGCACCGACCAGCATCTCCCTTCCCACCTCTACTCCCACCCCCAGCCTCCAGTCACCACACTTCTCACTCTCTACTTCTATGATTGTGACCTTTTTAGATTCCACATGAGTGAGAGCATACGGTATTTGTCTCTCTGTGCCAGGCTTATTTCACTTAACATAATGTCCTCTACACTAATCCATGTTGTTGCAAATGACTGAATTTCCTGGGTTTTTTTAAGGCTGAATAGTATTCCGTTGTTTATATATACTACTTTTTAAAACTCCATTCACTGTGGTTTCCAAACTGTGCTCTTTCCATGAATACTAGGAGTGGGATGAAGGATGGAAGAGGCTGCTTGACTCTTCTCTGTACCACGCTGAGTTTCAGGTAAGACGTCACTTACAGACAAGGGTTCTGCAGTTAACCCAGCTTGGAAACCACTGGACCACAGAGTCTCTCTGATGCCCCCCAGCTGTTATATCCTATTATTCAGCAAAAACAATGAAACCTATAACAGGATAGGATATTAGGTTTCCCTGAAGAAGAAAAACAGGGAAAGACGCTTGGGCAAGTTATTTATTATGTTCACTGAGAAACAGAATCTATTATTCTGGGTTTCGAATATCTAGTGAGTGTTTTTCTGTCTTTGGGTAGAGTTAACTGGCCCATCTCAAGCAAAGTGTTTTCTATCAGGAAAAAGGCAGTTTTTAATCCTGCATTCCTTTGAACTCTGGCAGAGATCAAGTAAGTGTCCATTCACACTTGTAAACGGCTGGGTTGGTTTCCAGGTCAGAGCTATCTTGGTGCCTCCCTTTGCCAGCTGCTCGGTTCTGTCATGGCCTTTGAAAGGACAGGACATGCTCACCTGGACCTCCTTCCAGCAAGGCAGACACAGCAGCTGCAGCACCCCATAAGCCTTTATAGGTTATGGGGTGCTCTTTAATATTTCTTTAGTAGAAATGAACAAAAATAAATAGATCTTGAGTGGTGCCCTTAACTCTCTCCATGCTCTCTCTGTTCTCTCTTTACAACACAGCTGAAATAAAATGTAAGCCCACACTTACCACCACCACACTCTTGGATGCATCCAGGACATGGATTACAGGCGCACTGTATCTTGGAGCTATTTTAACTGCCGTGTGGGTTCTGAAAAGAGGGGTCAGGAAGAAAAACATATCCATCAGAGCCTACAGTCCCTACCCAACTCTGTTCAGAGCCATCAGAGATGACGTGCTTCCATGGTGCTTTCCAAGGAAAGATTTCAGAGTTCTTCCTTACGAATACCGAACTTCGCATTGCCCTTGTAAAATAAGAATGACTTTTTCCCCACTCTAAGATGTGGAAACCAAGGTGAAATGAACTGATAGGTCCAGGCTGTGAGGAAGTCTGAGACAAAGCAAAAAAGACCTTGTCCTCTACTCTCTGCCAAGCTGGTGCTCATGAGCAGCCTGTCTGAACAGAGGAAGGAAACCAGTCCAGTCAACCACACTTAGCTGTCATCCAGGTCAAACTGAGTTCCTTCCTCCAGATGAGCTGGGATACCAGACAGGGCCCCCGAGGAATCATGAGCCAGGTAGATGACACAGGACATGGCTGTCTAGCTGTGACTCCCCTATTCGTGGGAGACACCAACACTCCTCAGCCTCAATCCCACCTGTACTTATAGTAAAGAACCCTGGACTCAAAATTCAACATAGAGAGGCAAAAGGAACAGAAATATTTTATACTGAGATTGGCTAGGCCCCAAATCACTATTGCCAAACTTGAAAATGACAGTTCTAGGAAGAAATACCCTTTAATCCTCAAAATTACCTAATTAAATAAAGTGCAAAACAAATTGTCCTCTGATGACTAGATGTTTATGGTGATAGCATGGGCTGTCTGCTATAAACACCCAGTATATATCCACTACCCCATGACAGAACATAACAAATTAAAGTGAGAAGTGACGGTGTACATGCCTCCCTTACCGCAGCTAACCCAGGGCCTGAAGACAGAGAGCGGCGTGGACTGGCCACGATGTGGGTCAGACGGGCAGCCAGCAGCAGCACCGGCGAGTCAGGCAGCTCTCACCCACCCACCCCCAGCCCACATCTGGTGCCTTAATATTCCTTCCCCTCAACTGAAGTGCACTTTTGTTTGGAATGTTATTTCAGGAGGATATGTTATTATATGAGAAGAAAACAAAGTAGCAGAGCACTGTGTTTAATGCAACTCCATTTTTAAAAACAAACGTCACCACCCTCCGCCTGCCCAACCAACCAATCTGATATCTAAGCTTGTATATATAGGATTTAGAAAAAACACAGAGGGTTACACATCAAAGTGTCGACACTGGTTATACGGGGGCAGAGGGGGACTGAAGGTAAGAAGGGACTCGATTTTGCTTTACATGCCTCTGAATTGTTTGATATGTTCTAGTGAGTGTGCGTTACTGAGGTAACTTTTAAAAACCAAGAGAATATTAAATGGGTAATATATGTGTGAGCATGTTTTTAATAGGCTTCTTGGGGAAGGCTCTAAAAACTCATCTATAACGAGGCAGACGAGACCAATGACACTTCATCCATGTCCTTTTTCCAACAGTAGCTGCATTTGTAAACACGAAGCAAGGACTAAAGCTTCAAGCCACATGAACTGAACTGTAAGATGGACATTCCAGCAAGCGACATCTTTTGGACAGGGAGACTGGGGTACAGGGCAACAGGGAGCCAGGCCATGGCCCTGCAGCAGCCAAATGAACTCCACTGTCTCCTGACCTGTTTTGTGCCTAGTGTGTGATCGGGAACCAAAGATTTGAAGGTATCTTGGGTATTCTGTGAGGGGGAGGACTTTTAAACAGGAGGAAAAGTTATAAAGAAGGAGCTGCCCTCAGTTTCGAAACAGAACACAGCTCAGACTAAGCTTGCGGGCTCTTCTTCAGGTGGTCAGCTCCTTGAGCACATGAATGTTCCTCAACATACATTCTGCATGAAATACATATTCTGCAAGGAAGCATTATTTTAAGTCTGATGACACGTAAATGACCTTCGTCTTAAAGAGAACCAGTGTAACTTAAAATTTCAAAATCAACACAATATTTATTAAGCATTTGAGGGTTCTCAGTCAATTCTGACCAGTTCTCTCTTTAATGATCTTTGGGACTAGGGCA